AATATTTTTTAAAGGAGTGTCTTACAGCAAAACAGTGTTTAGGCAGAATAGCTGAATACCTGACTCTGCTGTGTCAGGCCACATAAGCAAGGTATGGAAGGCTACTGTGAGCACGCAGTCCAGGGCAGCAGCACTACCCACACCTGCCTGAAGCTGACTTTGATTCAAACTTCATTGTTCTGTTTAAACAGCAGCCACTGTAAAGGCTCTCAGTGGATTTCAGTATGGTTACAAAGTACATGTTCATGTCTCTGTGGCACTTAAATCCAAGGAAGACAAAAATGTCATTTTCTGTGACAGGTCATGAGCTAAAGAATGTGCAACAAGTACAAATGCTTTTTCATTTCTTTAGGGTATAGCTTCTTCAGGAAGCAGCCAGTATAGTGGACAGGTAAAACCTCTACTTTCATGGTACTTGCAGTTTGGGTACACAGCTCATCAGGAAAACAGACTGGTATTTTTTGCAGAAAAGGAACATTCTGAGATAGAATAGCTTTAAGCCAGACTGAAGGTGGATTTGCTAAGTATGAGTTTGGAATATCAGATCACATTAAGACCAAATGACACAGGGGCCTGTGACATGGGAAATGTCACAGCATGGAAATGTTTCTTCAACATATCATGGTTTAAGATAATTTTTTGTGTTATGTTTAAATGGAAGCAATTTGAAATTCTGAGAACCACAGAGAAGTGAGAATGTTACTCAGTAACACACAAGTAATTAAGTTACTCATTTCTTCCAGGGCTTTTCTTCAGGGGTCAGGCAGTCTGGTGGACAGGTATGTTTTCTTTCTCTGTATGGTTCTGCTAGTGTCATATACTCCCAAATTGCTTTGTGTAATTTTCCTTCACAATAACTGTTTCCAGTCACACATTTAATCCAGCTTGCGTGTGGAAAGTGAGACAATGAATAGTGGACTCCTGGCCACCTCTGAGTTTTACCAGTGTAGAAGTTACCTAATAGGCCTCCACTGGAAGTCATCCAAAGAGCACTGCATGTATCCGTAAGATCATAGAGTATACAGAATTGGAAGGATCCATCAGGATCAGCCAGTCCAACTCCTGGTCCTAGGCAGGACACCCCAAGAATGACACCATGTCCCTGAGAGCATTGTCCAAACACTTCTTGAATTCTGACAGGCCTGGTGCTGTGATCACTTCCCTGGGGAAATTCTAATTGCTCTGGTATCCTCAAGGAAAAATAAAACATAAGCAGTATTACTATTCAGAATGTTTTACTTATCCTTTTGTGAGTAGGCTTTTACTGTAAATTTTTAAATGAGAAGTTAGAAGATTCTATTTTAAAATTCGATTAGTAAGTGCACAGCTAGCCTAAAAGGGCAGGGAAGATATAAAAAACCTTCCTTTTTAAATGGAGCTTGATAAGTTGATGAGTAGTGTTTCATAATCCATTTTCTTAGAGTAGCAGAATATGAGTTTGATTTACTAATTCAGAGGCCTATTCCAATCATAGACCCAGGAAAGTAAGTTTGGTTGTGTTTTGTACAGGGTGGGTGTGTGTGCCCCGGTGGAGGTTCAGTAAGTATTTTTTGTCTTTATATATTATTCATAGTATGTACTCATACTGGAAAATTCCCAAGGAGCTACACTTATTGAAATAATTCTGTCTGTCAAGTTCTATGTATGATGAAATCTTTTTCCACATTATGCTAAAATGAGAAATTAATTTTGAACCTGCTAAAGGCAAAAATAATAAGTGATTTGGAACCACAGCATTGTATTCAAAATGAGCTACTCAGTTTGTAAGAGAGGCCTGGGACTTTTCTAAGAATCTGTTTCACAAATATCTCATAGTGTACCTGTTGGCTTTTGGACTTTGCTCTTATGATAGTTATTAACAATATGATTGAACTAGTGAAACTTAGATTAAAATCTTGGCTTCAAATGCTTTCAGAATGGGGTAGAGAAACACATTTGAGAAAATTAAAGCTATTTCAATTTTTCTGTCTCACTGGTATATTTCCTATTTCTTTGTAAATTCCTGGGAAAAAAGCCAAAAAAACCCAAAAATATAAAAAACATCCCCTAATCCCCACTCCCCCCATTCTGCTGAGATCAAGTTAATTTACTTCTGAAGGAGGCTCAGTTACCTGGGTTTTTTTCAGTGCAGTCAAAAATTTCTTGGATCACTACTTCTCTTTATTGGTCTATGTAATGAAGCAAAATGACATGCCCAAGTATATAACCCATGGTATATATGCCAGTTCTGAGAATCAAAAGTGTTGAAAACACTCTAATATAAATTAGAGTTTATATAAATTAGAGTTTATATATAAAAATAGAAATTATATAATAATAATACTCACTTATATACACGTTATATATATATATACATATATTCCTTGACATATAAATCAAGACGAATCAGAATAATAGTAAGCAGTGTAAATGACTTGATCACTGCAATAGGTCAGTTTGTTCTCTTGGATTTCCTCTGTGTGACACTGAATTATCACAGAGTAAACATTGCTGTTTCTATTGAATGCAGGGCTCTTTCTCAGGAACCAACTACCATGGTGGACAGGTAGGCAGTTTGTCTCTAGCATTTACACAGACTAGTTCCTCAGGAATAAACATGGCTCGGTTTTCACATGTGCCAGCAGCCATTAAATATTGAGCTCAGTTTAGTCACAGAGATAGGTAAAATAATTCCAGAGAGTGCAGGGGCTTTTATTCAATCACAGTTGACATTTCAATTATATCCTTCTATATACAAGAGCCAAGGTTTTACTTTGTAGTTATAGAAGCTTTCTTACCTTAAAAAATTACTGAAGAATCATTCACAGGGTTCATCTCACTGCATAAAACAATATGATGTGTGCATAATTAGTCATTTGCCATTGCATTAGTAACTGTGTAAAATTCTGCCAGTTAATCAGTGTCATGAGTATTGTTTATATTATATTAGGTCCAGGATCTTTTTTTGCCATTTAAAAATTTGTTGCTATTAAAAAAATTGTTTATAAAAAAATTGCATTCTTTTTATAGGGTTCATATCCTGGAAGTAATCAGTATGGTGGACAGGCAAGCAAATTTTCTTTGTTTTCAAGATCTTACTTCTATTTGCAATTTATCAGCTGAAAAAATATGCAGTACATATACTGCCAGGTTTTTAGGGTCATTTTACTCCTAATAAATATTTGAAAACAGGGACTGTCAGTAGCTGGAGTATACTCAAAATAGAGTAGCATGAACAAATTTCCATGCAAAGAAATTCCATAGATCATAATTTTAGTTGTTTTACCTCAGAATGCCTCTTGGAAAATTTGGTACAGAATAAGCCAATAGATACTGCTTAAAAAATATAAATTCAGGTGTGTTGCACACAATAACACTACTTTCCTCTTCAGATCACTTCAAGACTCTTCCCATTAAGCATGTACCTTATGCAGACTGTTTGCCACTGATTCAGAAATGTTACTAGTGCAAATAGCTGGCAAGTTAAATGCATGACTAACTCAAAAGATGGAGCCTATTTTCATTAGTATTACTGTTTGCAATGTCTCACTCTACCATGGTAAAAAAAAATTAATTGCTTTTTATTCCAATGGCAAGCATTGGTGTTCAGTATCACTCTATTAAAAAGATAATCTCACGTAGAATGGAGAGAATTCTTAACACTGCAAATAATTTTTCCCCTCAAACTACCTAATTGGTAATATTAACAATGTTTCTACAATAATACACATGGTGCTCTCTAAACATGCCTGACATAATAGAAAATCACAAATAAAATCTATTTTTTTTCTCTTCAACAGAGCCATATGTAAGACACTTTTGATCCATTTATTTGTGGAACAGAACAGTCTCAGCAGCTGTTTTGTGACTGTTTGCCCAATTTATTACTTTCAGTTGTTGAAGAACTTCGAGGCATTAGATCAGAAGTCTTTTACTGTATCTTTTTAGATTAATATACTTTCCAGATTATGACTGAGATTTCCTGTGATATTTCACTTTGCACAGAATAATGAAAAGTAACCGCTGTTAATTTTCTTCACCTTTTTTTTTTAATAGGGATCTTATCCCTCAGGAGGCAGCCAGTATGGTGGGCAGGTGAGTATTCTCTTTCCATCCCATCACTTCAAACTCTTTCCTAACACACTTTATAGATTGGGTCAGTTACTTGATGCTAACTGATACTTTAATTTGGCCATTTTATTAAGTTTAAACAGTGGAGGTAATATGGATTGAAGCTGGTTCAGTAAGGTGAATAAAAGATTTGGTTACAGTGAGTTACTGTTCTGTGTAAAATATTCCTTGAACATACTATAGTTGCCAGGCTGTATTTTATAACACTGCTTTCTTGATTCTTGTGGTATGTAGTACAGAGTGCCAATTTTAAGCATCCCATTTATGATTTTTGTTCAAAGAACACCCAAATAAGCTTGTCCTAAGTACTACAGAAATTGTCTCAAGACAGTGATAGATGATTTCACATTCAATTAATACAAGTTTGATTTACTTGTTACAGGGCTCATATCCTTCTGGAGGCAAACAACATGGTAAACCAGTAAGTTCAAAGCATTCAAATTTACCTTTCTCTTTTCTTATACACCTGCTGAAAAAAAAGGTATCAAGTTAGTTATAGACTACACAGAGAATTACTTTAATATGCAAAAAGTGGCACATGATTTACTTATCTGGGATACTCTCAACAAATGCAAACACAATATTTATTTTCACACAGTTTTGAGACAGCACTTTACTGTGTAGCTGAACTAGTAATCACAGAAGGAAACCACTGGATTTATGTGTGTGTGTGTGTGTGTGTGTAAGGAACTTCTGAACAGCTATTTCTGTTTAAATTCATAATAATAATACACTTTGTGCTCAGAGCTCAGTTTTCCATTGATTTTGTATGCATTTATCTTAAGTATTTCTGTTGTGCTTTGAAGAAAACACTTTCTCTTTTCAAAGGAAATAATAGTTGCCATTTAACTATGCATATTTTCAACTTCCACCATTTCAGACTACTCTTTTTACTGTGTAATTTGGACCTCACTCTTGCCATTCAATGGCAGTTCATACAAATGTTTTAGCTTATCTCTTATAGAAAAAATGTATTTGTTATTAAAAAGTGATCATAAATATTACATTTTCTAATACATGAATCCTAAAGGGGAGACATTTTCAGTATGTATTTGATGGCATTTCTTAAAGACCTAATGATTGTAAAATTTCCTGTTGGCAATGCCATTCAAATAAGCAGAGCCACTTCATGAAAAAACTGAATAAGATGCTTTCAGAACATCTAATTTTTCTGTACCTACTTTTATTTTCAATTACCTTTGTTATTAGAGTTTTGTTTAAGTAGGGGCTATATAGTAAAGGCCTCCTATAATTTGACTTTTTTTTGTTGGTGCTGTCTTTTTTTTACCCAAAATGTAACCATAGACTGATACCATGAGAATTATGGTTTAATTGGACCTTATTATTTTTTCTATTCCATATATTAAACACAACTATAAACCAGTTCTTTTTTTTGGAGAATTTTGCATAAAATTTTCCAATACAACATTTGAAAGAACACACATCACAGAAAATGTTAAATATATGTATTTCAGATAAGGTTTTGCCTGAGATTTTTGGATGACTGGATACAAAACAGTGTTCATTCTTCTCTGGTCTTTAATTACAGATAGCAAAACTATTTAAGCACAAATAGAATTAGAGGCAAAAACAGGTATCTTTTTTCAGGGTTCCTCTTCCTCAGGAGGCAGTCAACAAGGAAAGCCAGTAAGGATATTCTTCTTTCAGTATTCTGCAACCAAATTAGATATGGGGATATTGGGTTTTAAGATAGGTAACAATGAGGGTAAAATTTTAAATTATGTTACAATAGTAAATATATGAGAAAAATTATCAATGAAAATTTGAATATTTTGCTCCAGCTTGAACCTTAGGATGAGGCAGGATTTATTCCTCCCACAGCAAAGTTTTTTACTCATAGGAACATGGTTGGGTCATTCTGATAAGAATGATGCATTTATATAGCAGGGTAATTGTTTCAGTTTCCAACTCTGTAGTTTAGACACATTGCTTTGACCCATTCCTCTGAAACTCTTCCTGCAATAAAAAGGACATAGCTGTGCTTATTTGAGACCATTCAATTCAAACAGGGGGGGAAAGTGCAGTGAAAATGGTAAAACCAAAATCACTATCAGACCCTCTTATGTCCAGGGCATTTTCAAGACTGCTGTGTGCTCTTTGGACACGGCCCACTGCAGCCTTGTAGGACAAAATTAAATGGTTCATAATTATTTCACAGGGTGGCTCTGGCTCAGGAAGCACTTACTCTGGGAAACCGGTAAGAATACTTTCATTTTCTTTTCTCAGTAAACAAAGAGCCTGGGTGGTGTGTAGAGAAATTTTGGGATGACTTGGTCTGAAGAGAACATCCTCTGTTAATATTAGTTCTACCTTCCTCTAGAACAACTTAAAACCACCCTGTGGGTTAAGCTATTAAAATCTTGTTGATCACAGGAAAAAACTGTGTTAGAAACCATTGGCTGGGAACATCCCTATAAATTTGTTTGTTTGTTTGTTTTCAGCAATCACCCTACTCAGGCGGCAGTCAAGTGGTAAGAACTTTTCCTCTGTAGTTTCTACTGGTCTCTTCCTATAAATGTCACAGAAAACTGAAAGCTGTCAAATTTCCTACATCTGAATAAATGTTGGAGAACATATGTGCAACATAATAAATTAAATAGTCTTAAAAAATGAAGAAAAGTGGGACCACATAGGTGCTTTATGCTTTTGACCCTATCACTGAAAAATATGTGTTGATAGAAATGTGGCACATGATCTTTTGACATCAGAAGTGTCTATGTAACAGACAGGGCTAATAGAAAAAGGTTTCTCTAAAAATGTCCATGCTTTTATAATAGCAATAAAGAGAACTATTTAGGAATGGGTTTATCAAATTTCTCTTTTTTTTTTTTTTATAGAGCTCTGCTGGGAAACACTCAACTCCCCAACTCCTGATGTTATTCAGTGTTTTGAGTGCCTTTGCTCTCTCTGCTGCTGTATCAAAATGGTCTATATGAACTTCTGTGGTGTTACTTGACATCCTAAACACTGATTATAATCTGTATTATTAATTACTTAATGTATAAAAAATACCATTAAGTCAAATTGGCAGATGCTACTTGGCTGTTATGTTGCATGTCTAGCTGGTATGTCATGTCCCTCATTAGTTTACCTCTGGTTTTAGTCATTAGTAGTTCTCATTAGTTGTGTCAGTGTTTTAGGCATCATTTTAAGAGAGCATATGGTACCCTACCTATAGGATATGTTTTTATTTCCAATAGGGAATGCAATGAACACCTACATGAAATGATTGGTGTAACAAATGAATACTTAGGGAAATATTTGGTTATTAGCCAAAGTGGACAAGGTGAAATAAATTGTTGTATATGCAAACTGAGCACTGTGCCTGGTAATCATGGCATCAGGTAAGGCTAATGTATACTTCTTAAGCAGTTCTCCATGGGACAGAAGAAAAGATACTGAAGTAGTATCAGAGTATTGGTTTTAGTATTTTGTAATCAAATGTAAATTCCAAAGCAAAAAAAAAAAAAAAAAACTTCACAGGACTGAATTTTTTTGGGTTAATAAAGTTTATTCATTAGAAAAATGAAACAGATCAAAGACATCATGAACTCCATTCAAACCAACTGCAAATACCTAGAGTTCTGTAAAGAAGCGTATGAGGCATATGTACTCCAGATCAGGCTGACGAACTAAAATCTGCTGAAAAATAAAGCCTTTTTCCTTGAAGGAGTAGAGAAATAATTAAATTCATAAACCTAATACCATCTTGGCTCCCTTTCTCAAGTATTTAGTTTAACCTGTGGTACCTTGTGTATCTGAAAAGTTAATTTCGTGAGTGCATCTACAAGCAGGTCCATCAGTGTGCTTGCTGAAACACCAGGGCCCTTTTTTCAAATTCAGTTCCTCACCTTGCAGCAAACTCTTCTGGAGCTCTCAGAGCCACCTTCTGTTTGGTGTTAACGAAGCGCATTCACCTAAAGCATACTTCTAATGAATGTGTTATCTATTGAACATGTGCCTGCTATTAAAATGACCATTGTTAGTAGTGTGCTTTTCTGTCACGGTTTACAGTTGTAATTGGTGGGAGAGGTTTCGATCCGAGTTCTCCTGCCAGCTTCGGCGGGGCCAGGATTTCACCCTGTTGGATGTGCAGCACTACCCTTTGCCAGCCACGGTAAATCCACCTGCAATTGAAGCACAAAGTTATGCCTGTTTACAATCTTGAAAATTCGGTGGACAATTTGTTTCTTGGACAACACAGTAACGTTCTGTTTGAGAGGCCCGTACCTTAATTCGAACCAGCCCTACTATTCTCTAATAAATTTGTGATGGGTTTCATACAAAACGCTGGTGTCAGTGGCTGTTGAAGCGCCCCGCTCACGGTTGGGGCGGATCT